GATCAATAACCAGAGTACCGATCAATAACCAGAGTACCGATCAATAACAAGAGTACCGATCAATAACCATAGTACCGATCAATAACCAGAAAACTGATCAATAACCAGAGTACTAATCAATAGCCAGAATACTGATCAATAACCAGCGCACTGATCAATAACCAGAAAACTGGTCAATAACCAGAGCTCTGATCAATAAGCAGAAAACTGGTCAATAACCACAGCTCTGATCAATAACTAGAACACTGATAAATAACCAGAAAACTGGTCAATAACCAGAGCTCTGATCAATAACTAGAACACTGATAAATAACCGGAAAACTGATTAATTAATAACCAGACTACTGATCAATAACCAGAGTTCTGATCAATAACCAGACTACTGATCAATAACCAAACTACTGATCAATAACCAGAACATTGATCAATAACCAGACTACTGATCAATAACCAGAACATTAATCAATAACCAGAGTACCGATCGATAGCCAGAATACTGATCAATAACCAGAGTTCTGATCAATAACCAGAGCATTGATCAATAACTAGAAAACTGATCAATAACCAGACTACTGATCAATAACCAAAGCATTTATCAATAACCAGAAAACTGATCAATAACCAGAGTAGTGATCAATAACCAAACTAGTAATCAATATCCAGACTACTAATCAATAACCAGAACTCTGATCAATAACTAGAGCTCTGATCAATAACCAGAGTACTGGTTCCATCATGGCTGCCCCCTGAAAAAGGAGGGAATCACCATAGCAACCAGTGAGCCAAACGTTCCATCATGGCTGCCCCTTGACAAAAGGGGGGAGTAGCCATAGCAACCAGTGAGCCAAATGTCCCACCATGGCTGCCCCCTGACAAAAGGAGGGAGTAACCATAGCAACCAGGGGGCCGAACGTTCCATCATGGCCCCCTGACAGAAGGTTCTGGGTCCAGGTCCCGGGTCCAGCGAGGGGGGACCTCCCAGGACCTCCGGAACCACCTCAGCCGGTCCCGCCGGTACCAGACCCGGACCCCCACAGAGCAGAACCCCCACCCACCAGAACCGGCCCGGTTCTGCCCCAG